CCAATAATGGAGCACTCTCCACATGGTAAGAACACACACATCTGTTTCTCCAGCCTTCGCAATCTCTTGTGCTGTTCCAGGATCCTATATCCAACTGCCTTCTAGACATCTCACACTTGCCAATGATATGCCCTGCAAGCATGTTAAACACAGGTCCAAAGTTGAACTCATTCTCTTCTCCCTCATACCTTCTTCCTCTTCTCTTTTCCCACTCACTACCCAGAAACCTATGAAGCATTCTAACATTCTCACTCTCCCATATCTTTTACATTCAAACAGTCAGAAAGACCAGCAAATTCTCCCTCATCTAACTTTTCCTAAACATTGTCACTTCTCTATTCCCACTACTTCCACCCTTATCTAAGCTTTCAACCTCTCTTATCGATACTAATGCACTGTCCTTGAAAGCTTCCAATCTTGCCATGTCCCCACACCCAACCCCACTCCACCTTCAATCTACCCAGCACACTGCTTTCAGTGATCTTCCATGACACTCACAATTCTTCAGTGGCTGACTACTACACATGGTATAGGAAGTGTACCCTGAACTGGCTATCCAGTTTCATCTCCTTTCACTCCTGACCTGTCCTTCACACTCTAATATAACTTACCTACATATAGTGCCCAGTACACACTATGTTCTCATAATGCCACACAACTACTCAGGCTGTTAGCTTTACCTAGAAATGCTTTCTACTGCTTATCAACATGTCCGCTCCTACTCAGTTTTCAAGTCTCAGCTCAAACACAACCACTACTAAAACCCTTCCCTGGTATTGCAGGCAGAGATCAAGAGCTCTTGTTAGATTTCATTTGCACTTGTACCTACCTCTGTTATAGCAAATAGCATACTGTATTTGAACTACTGGTCAAGATATCTGTAGTCCTATTAGACTATAAGATCCTTGGTCAAAGACAACGACTTTTCATCTTTATATCCTCCTCACTAGTTCAATTCACAGTCACTAGTTCCGTGTACATTACTAGTTCAATGCAGATATATAATAAAAAAGGAGAGGAGAGGTTAATGAATAAGGTATGGGCCAATGAAAGAACAAGAAAATCAACTGGACTTTGAGTATAGAAAAACAAATACCAGATCTTAAGAAAGTACAGATATCTGTAGTACAGACATCCATTACTAAGTCCTAACCATTAAAAAAAATAGAAAAATATGGTTATTCAGGTAGTATGAAGATGACAAAAAAAAACTTGTTATTGGACTAAGTAGACATTAAGAAGGTAAAAGTTTCCAGTGGAACAGTTGACAAAGATCAACAGAGAAGCCAGAGAAAAAGATGGTTATTTCTAGGAACCAAGTAATTCATTGACCTAAATTCATGGACTGATCAAGACTGCCACCTTTCTCTCAGTTCGCAACCCCTCTCCCGTGTCATTATTCTGCATCACCCTTTCTGAGTCCCCACTACCAAATCCCCAATGCCATGGGTAGTTTCCCTCCAGTGGAGCCACAGGTCCAGGCCAATGGCTTAATCCGGATGCAAGGGCAGGGGGTGGAAGGGTATCTTTGTTCTTATGTCTAGGACTTTGAGGAAAAATTAAACAACTATTTACTGAGAATTTATTTTATGACAGATACTGTGCTACATTATACTCACTGACTGAATTTCACAGTAATCATGAGTAATTATCCCATTTACACATGAGGAATTTACGTCCAAGGTCAACAGCTAAGCAATGACAGGGCCCGCCTGAAAACCTAAGAATGACAACCTCCAGAGCTTTTTCTATACCCCCACTATCTCAAAATGGCGGGAGATGTGGTCCAACCATTCTAGGTTGGCACTCAGAAGACATTTGCCTCCAAAACACTATTACATATGTCGATTAGAGTCTACAGTACCACTAATATATAATAGGCTCACAATGAGTTTAAAAAGCTTTCCTTACTACCATATAAAAGTAAGTACTATATTTCCTGGGGTCCGGACCTGGAAATCTAAATGCTATTTATTCCTATCAGTATACTGTTCACTTTACAAATAATAGACTTGAAAATAAACTTGTGGAATACAATGGGTTCTTAAGTAAGGCTTTTCTTTAAGAATATTTTCTTGCTTCCACAAAAAATATAAAAGCCACCAAGGATAGAATGATTTTGCCTTGTTAACTTGTAAGAACAATGACACTAAAAGAAACCTGTGCGAAATATGCTTATCTGACCAGGTGCTCATTTTCGGTGGGCTGTCATTTGAGTAAAACATCATACTAAACCCCACAGACCACAGCTTACGATAGAAATGCCACCAACTATAGCAGTACAGTTGATATGCCTATAATCTACTGACAAAACGTACTCCTCAGTAAAGTAAAACCAGATGTCTGTTGTGAAATCAGATGTCTGTGAACTTGTCTTTCGCAGTTTTCAGAGCAGTATTAGACACGCTGAATACTCAGCTAAGCTGTATATTAAATCCACAACTTGGCAAAATCATGACAGTTTGGACATGAAGCATCAGCATTTTTATTGTAATTCTTATAAACCAAAGACATTTCTGAAATAGAAATCCTAAGTTTAAGTACTCAGCTAAATACAGTAGTATGTCTTTCTCACTTTAAGAACACTGTCAGGCCTTTTTAAACACATTATAGAAATTCTTTCCCTTCATTTTTCAAGCTGACACACTTTATCCAGGGCTGTGGAATGATCTGATAAGGTCACATCAGGTGTCAGTCCCTGTCCCAGAAATTCTAGGATCAGATACACCAGGTGATCCCCTGTGAAAAGCAAATCCCAGGGAGGCTTAACATCTACAGGAAAGTTAGGTACTACATGGCTTTCCACAATCAAAGGGAAGATCATAGGAAAGTAATGGGTGACCACATAGAAAAACAGGGAGGGAAATTTAAAAGTACTTACGTGCCAGGCACTGTTTTTTCACACATTCTTTTATATATACTCTTTGTTCTGTTTTGATGGATAAGAAATCAAGCAGCAGGGAAGTTTTAATGGCCCAAAGTGACACAGCTAATAAAATAAGAGCCAGAAATCAAGCTTATGTCCAAAAGACTATAAAAGTCATGCTACTTCTACATGAAAGTTTCGGGTGGAGTGAGGAGGGGTGGTAAATAGCCAAGAAGAAGGAGAAAAAGGAAGAAATTTATAATTTTACCAAATAACAGTGAAATAGATATATATATAAACATGTATTATGTCTCACATATGTTCCATATATAATACATAGTTAAGATGTATACATTTTTAACATATACTTAAGTTGCATATTTAGTATGTGTATATATGGAACAAAAAGTTGAAGAAATAAATATCAAATTGTTAAATGGTCATCTGAGAGTAGGCTCATAGGAAACTCACATTTTTGCCTTTTACATCCCTCCCAGATTTAATTCTAAATAACTTTTTTTGACTTTATATTACTCTTATAACCAGAAAAAGCCAAAGAACTATTCTAGTTTAGATTTTTTAAATGAGGCTAAATGCACAGAAACCCATGCAAGTTAATGGTCTACTTTCGTATTTGTTTTTCTAAGTACATCATCATTTACACTCTCCATGATTCCTAATATTAGGTCCTTCTTATGCAACAACTACAAAAGTTATCCTCATCTAATTATTATACTTGTACACTGGAAAACGACTGTAACATTATTCAGTATAGGACACAAATCGCCAAGGTCAGTCATCCTTGTAAGTTTATTATTGAAAGTACTAGAAACGTGTAATAATAATTATATTCTCCACAACACTGTACAGACCTGCAAACCACTATGATCAGTAGTAGAGGGAAAGTCTTGTATTAACATGTAACGATTCAGAAAATCCACAAAACTGGTGGAAGGCCTGCCCCAAAACAGCCATCTCCAATACAATCTCATCATTCTCACCATCCTACTTTTATCGAAGTGCTGATAAAAGTGCTCAGCACATGGTAAAAAAGAGAGAATTAGCTATTGAATCAATGAAGGCACCCATTATCAATAAACAATCACTTCCTGGTTTTCCATAAAGTGAATTATGTGTTCACCTATCACTTGAGCACAAACAGGCACGTTCAGGATACAGGCAGCCCGTATCAGAACAGGGAGCCGATCACAGAAGGCAAATCTACTTATCCTGTGTAAGAATCCAAGAATGTGGTTTACTACATTCCTGCTTGTATCTAATCTGAATTTCAACTAATTTAAAACAGTTATTTATATGTGACATACAGGATGCATAAGGAGTTCCCAACCTTGTGAGAGGAGGTGTGTTTCATTTCACCATACAGGGGAGAGGGAAGCAGTGTATTAAAGAAGTGACAGAAAAGTCCCACAGAACAACCAATGAAATAGACCACACTGAAAATCACAGTAGGCCTCAGAAGACTTCAGTGTCCTTTTTGGCAACTTTTCAAAAGTGAATGGAATGCTTGCAAGGAGGTACCAAGAGTGAAAGTCCAGAGAAAAAGGCCCAGCCTGGTCATCTCTCTCCCCTCAAAACATCTTCTTCTGTAAGCTTGAGAGAAAATCCCAAAGAACTTCAACATTAGTAACCTTGTTACTAACTTTACGCCTCGGGGTCCTAAAGGATTTTTTCAGGAGTCCCCTTTTAAAATGTAAACATCCCTAGAGGGGGTTACTGTTCATTATCAAACAGGACCTGGATTCTTTAGTGCTAAGGTCTCAGGGATTAGTCAAAGCTGGCTAATAAGATAGGGGCCGGAGACAGACAACTAGAGAGGACCACTGTTGCAAGGTAAAAACAGGTAAAGGGGAAGGGCAGTTTTCTGTCGGGTCAAGCGGCTAAAAGGGATCCACATGCCCAGGCTGTTAAACTCCCAGGCAACTTTATAGACTGTGTGAGCCTGAAAACAGCCCAGGGCTTGGGGCCTGTGACTTTGAAGGTGGGTCCTTCAGTTCCCAATGAAAAGGTAGAATCTGGGCCCATGTTCCCCAGGAGTAGTTCTGGATCTAGCCCTTCTCTCTGTCGCTCTCAGGACAGTCCTAGCTCCTTCCACCCCTGACCATTCCTTACTTACCCTTTCTCCCGCTCTTCCTCGGTGAGAAGGGGTAAGTGGTTATTTTGTGCCCTCGCCCAATTTGGCCAAAACCCTAAAAGTAAAAAACGACAGACAGACACGTGCTTTAAAATCCTGTTGTTCAAGCCTGAGGCTCTTCCACCACCTGCCCAACACTTCCAGGCAGAAGGCAGCGCGTCCCCACAGCGCTCCCTCAGGGCCAGGGCCGGGGACCGGACTAGTCCCCTTTGTGAGGAATGGGAGAGGGCGCGTTCTGGGGGCTCGGCGGGGAGGAGTGGGCCGGCTCCGTGCCAGGTGTGCCGCCTCTGGCGCCGGTTTCCCACCCTAGTTAGCTAGTGGCACCAGGAAGAGGACTAGGCAGGGGTGGCCGCCGCACGCGCCTCACATAAACACGCGCACGCACACATGCTCGCGATCACGCAGGACTCGCGGCCGCGCACCCCTCCGCCCCAGCAACGCTCGC